CCGAGGTGCTCTGGAATTAAAAACAAAATAAAACCCAGTTCAGAAATTATTATATGTCAGAAATCCTGAGCCAAGATCTCAGCCCGTCTCCTTTTAATGTTATCCCAGGGATTTGGTACTCTGTTTCACATCATTTGTCACCTGCTCCCACAGGTGACGAAAGCACAAGTTGTCTCAATACTGAGAGGTGCAACTCATTCCACTTCATATTTCTTGACCCCCAGCGGGAAAGAGTTTCCAGTTGGCTCTCTCTTGTCTACCTCATCTATGTCAGTCTTGGCCAAGGCCAGACTCCAGCACTGTGAACCCAGTATACAATCAATAATCCTGCCATTTACATGTTATAATGGAACTTGGATGGAGTGAAACTCTTTTATTAGGGGAAAAAAAATCCCTGTTTTCCTATGTAATGGAAAGGCTGCTTCCCACTCATAGTGAAAACATCATCCCTAATTCTTCTGCCATCTGGCCCACAAGCCTCACAGGAATATGTCTCAATCGCCATTGCTAGCCGGCTCCACGGGTCATTCAGCATCTATTCTTGGGCTGCGGGATGACTTATCTTTTTAGTCATTGTTAAAACAGTCTGGTCCAGTTCAAACTTCAGTCACAATCCTTCCTGTAGTGTATAGCAAACGGTTTTCCTCAGCGGACTCTGGCCACAAGCGAGAGGACCCATGATTGTCCAGCGCCCTGGGACATCTTTCCGATGTAAAGGGCACTATACAAGTGTAATTTCTTGTTGTTGTTGTTGACCCTAATTCAATTCCTGGGTGGGGTGAAATCTTAAGGCAAGTTTCCTTAATCCACACGCCTCTGTTTACTTAGCAGTAAGTGGGAATCCGGTTGTTAGTCGATTGGCAGATCGCCTTCTGGGGCAAACAATCCTTCCAAAAAAGAAGAATTTGGTCACTCAATCCATGAATGTTTGTGGGACATTGCTGTGCGCAATTGGCTGCCGCGTTTCGCCCACAAAATACACAGTCAATCCACTTTACAATATATTCTGTGAAGTGCTTTGAGACATCTCAGCGACGTGATAAGGTGCTTTATCAAATCAAGGATAATTATTATAATGATAATTCATGTAAACACAAAGTTTAAATCATGTAGTACATTAAGCCTTCAGATTACATAACCTAGTTTGAAAGGGAGGGTGGAGGGAGTCATTATTTGCAGCCGCCAGTAGTATTCGCAAAACTCCTTGATTTGTGAGTTGGTAAAATTGGACTATTTCGATGCTAAACAGACACTGAACAACTGCATTCTCCAATTTATTTTTATTGTTATCTAGCAAGGATGCCAACACAGCCAAACAAAACAAATGTAATTTGCAGAAAACACTTCATTTGTCAGACACGCACAGAGCATGTAATCCATAAAAGTGGTCATCATTGGGGCTGTTTGTGCCAATTAGCCTCTGAGGATAAACTGACTCAGACTACCGCTGAACTCAAGCCGTGACCAAAATTATCTTTGTTCCTCCACCATTCCTCCCCACAATTTTATTTTGAGGTCGGCATGGTGTCTGATGCATGCGGACACCCATCACCATTGCTTAGGAGTATCCAAACCAAACCGAGAATTCCATGCATCCCACCTACACGTGGAAATTTCAAAGATAGATTGTCGGAATGGAATCGACACTGTCTCCTTGGAGGGATGCATCCTGCTTACCTAATCCACACCACGAATGCCTGATCTCACGCAGCTTGTTCTGTACATGCATTTCAGCGACTGGTTCAAGAGCAATAACGGCAGAGACCCAGTCGGGTTGACCAGAATGTAGTTCTGAAGGTTGGATGAGAAAAGACTACTTGGACCAGCTAACTTGCCCCCTTGCTTAGGGCCATTATCAGAACCATCTCAGATCTTTTGTAGCTAATTGCTGCCTTGGCATCAAATTTGCATCGCTCAGTTTTCCATTGATTTCGGTTACATTTTTCATCCAAGTCCACATATAACAACAAATCATATTTTTATAGTGTCTTTAAGAGGAAACTTCACTGGACTGTGACAGTCTAGACTATACGTTTGCTGTGGTTACTCTTTAAAATGCATCTAGCTTCAGGTTTCCAAGTTTATAATAATTGTGTCCTTTAAAAGAATTTCTCCTCATCCAACTCTCCACATCATCCCATGACAAGTTGTTAATCTTCCCTGTGGTGTGGTTATTTGTAACTTTGTAGATGAGGCGCTTTGGCTATATTTGAAGACTGAGTATTTTTTTGCGTGGGGGAGAGTTAATAATAATAATAAACCTTGCATTTGATATAGTGCCTTATCATGTCTTCGAGATGTCTCAAAGCACTTCACAGAATATACTATAAAATGAATGGACTGCATATTTTGTGGGCGAAACGCGGCAGCCAATTGCGCATAGCAGTGTCCCGCAAACAGTGTCCCACGTCGCGGATTGAGTGACTGAATTTTTTTGATACGAGGTCGAAAGTGTGTTATGAAAAGTTCACAATTAGAGAAAAGAGAAGGGAGGGAGTCAAGAATCTTAACTTAACTAAGATCAAGGGTGATCCCATGTTAAATCTTGATTGTATGGTGCTGAGTCCACGTGAAATGTTAAGTCGTTAATTAACATCTGGTTAAGGGAACACTCGGTGTCTGATACGAAATTGCCATTTGCAACCCTGTGCTTGTGCCCTCTTATTCTGCCGCCTTGGGGTATCTGAGAGTATTAGTGAACCGCGTTTCACCCACCAGATACACAGACAATTCGCTTTATAGTGTATTCTGTGAAGCGCTTTGAGACGTCTCAACCACGTGATAAGGCGCTGTAATCAAATGCAAGGATTGTTATTGTTATGATTATTATTATTAATTTCTCAATCCCTTTTAAAATCTTGTATACTTGACTCTAAAGCAGTCTCTGCTCAGTCTTTGTATAACATGTTGAGATGTGCTTCTTTTGTGAAGGTCACTGTATGAGTACAAATTGCTTTTTTTTGTGTTATTGCCTCTTAATGTTCTGAAAAAATAACTCACGGTGAAATCACTTCTATTTCACCATGGGAGGGGGCTCCAAAAATTGTGCATTTTGTGTTAAAAAAATGATACCTCTGTCCATGAATGTCCATAAATGTAACATAAAACCTACTAATCACCCTTTCTAAACAATGAACACCGCTTTTGGAACGTGGCTAAAGTAATCGTCACACAGCTGTTCTTTCATAACCACAGTTAAGTACTTACGGTTTGGTTTGTTAGGAAACATTCTGGACAATCATAGTATGAGATGGTTAACCCTTGGCCTATGAGCATTGTTTTCTGTCCAGCATGCTGTTATGGCTTTAGAAAGAAGCACACATCTGGAACGTTTGGACCTGCAGACTGTCCTGGGGGTTGTTTTGTTGCTCGAGACATGGAAAACCGTGGATAGATGCTGAAAGAACGGTGAGGACGGTAACCCTAGCGACTGCCTCCAAACGACTAAGTAATGAAAACAAAGCGCTCAGTGAGCTGTTGGCATTACTCTGATCATTGTGTTCTGCCGTGGCACCAACACTGCTCATACATAGCTCTGTAAAATATTTATGTAAGACAAGAGGAAACCTCTGATTTCCCAAGGAACAGTTTACATCTGACGTGTAGGAAGAATTTCAGTAAAAATAAGCTATTACATATCAGGACTACAGAACCCATAGCCAGCAGGGAGATTGATATCAGTTGTCCCAAGCTGCTGAAAAAGCGAATGACCATTTTTTTTCTGGCGGATTGTTGGCCAGGACACTGGGAGAAAGGCCCTTCCCTGTTGGAATAGTGCAATTGGACTTTTAATGTCCGTCTGAACAGGTCCTTTGGTCTAACATTTTCATCCGAACGCATCTCTGGACAATTTGTTGCTCCCCAGCTGTCCAGTTGCCCAGCTGTCATTTCTATGATGGCAACATTCGAGTTCAATGGCTCATCCCAGCAAGGTTTAGCCTTTCAACCTCCAGGAGAGCCACAGCACAATAGGATTTAACTCCGACCATCCAGAGAATCGATCGATTTCTGGGTCAAGACCCTAAAAACTTCAGGGAATAGTGAGGACATAGGTTCAGAGGCCGTAGGATAAACCCAGATGACTAGTCTTCTAGCTGACCAGACCTTGGGCAAGTTTCCTTACTCCACACAGAGCCTAATAATAATCCCTCCAAAACCAAAAACAATAATAAATTGGTCATTTTCAATCCACGACTGTTTGTGGGACATTGCTGTGCGCAATTGGCTGCCGCGTTCGCCCACAAATATACAGTCAATTCACTTTACAGTATATTCTGTGAAGAAGCGCTATATCAAATGCAAGGATTATTATTATTATATTATTATAGTCAGGGGTTAGGGGAACCACACTGAAGACTGCCTCACTGTGTAGAAGTTCAAAACTAGGTTTAAATCAAATCAAATATTTTTCTGTCCCCCCCACCCCCCCCCACCACCACCACCACCAAATTGAACACCTGTACGGTACGTGGCTCCTATTCTCGACGCGTTTCCGCCAGTCGACATTTAACCCATATTCTCGACCGAACCCTCTCGTTATTCCCCAGCTTGTCTCCTTACAACTCTTAGTGACCCCCCCATTCGATTCCACACACAATTTCGCGCCGCCCCCCCCCATCACCGCCACCGCCACCGCCACCGCCACCGCCCTACAGCGAGCGCTATTAGTCAATTAATTCATCTTAATGCATAAGTCAAATGTGTTCTTCAGCTGTACTCCTTGTGGTGTGTGTGTGTGGTGTGTGTGTGTAGTATTTGGTTGTATTAAGTTTCCATCTGGAGACCGACTGTTGCTGTGACTCGGGCTCTTTGATTCCTGTTAATAGTCGATGTATTGACTCCTGTGGTTTCAGTGCTGTGTGTGTGTGTGTGTGTGTGGGGGGGGGGGGGGGGGGGTGTGGGGGGGAGTATTGCTTTGGGGCGGGACATGAGCCCATCCCTGTGTCAGGGGGTGGGGGGGGGGGTCCCAGACCCCTATATAATCGCTCAGGACTGAAGGAGAGGAAGAGCGCACTGCGCTAACAGGAGCTGAGCGGTTGGGGATCTGCTCCCGAGGACCAGGGAGGAGGCGGCGGAGGCTCCTGGTTTGGAAGTAGGGGTTTCACTCCAAGTCTCAGCTCCAGTCCAGAGCTCAGGGTGTAGACACAGCAGCTGCTGATCGGGTTCTGTGCAATTTGATGTCGGGAGTCAGTCTGAGTGAAGGTGAAGGTGAAGGTGAAGTTGGGACCTCTCTCTCTGCCTTCAGAGGCAGCGCTGGGATCAGCTTCAGTTTCCAGTCACACGGTGCAAAGGGAATTTGCTCAGAGATAAAAGCTGCCAAGAGGTTAGACCTTTGGTGGAAGAGCTACACCTGTTTTGTCAGACGTTTTGCACCCTTTAAAGTGGGTACATACTGTATGGCGACCTCGAAAAGCGTTTAGAAACTGGTTATGGAAAGCTAAGCAACGTCTGTCCAAATAGTGGTAAGATAACTTGTCTTTCATACTTGGGATGAGTTGATCGCAAGTTGTCAGCAATGATCTGTGGCAAACTGTGGATGGTAATAAGACGCGTTGCTTAATAGGAACCTGCTGACGGGTCAAGAAGGATTTCAGAAGACAATCTCCAGTTTGCGGAGAAACCACAATGACTACAGCGAAGGCTACGGTTCTTTTTCTCTTCTTCCAAGTCGTTTGCGGGACATCAAAAGGTCAGTATGTAGCAGGGTCACACACACTCCTGTGACCTGTGGTGACTCTTGATTTCTGATTTGAAAGTTTAGCGGTTTCAGGAGACAACGCAGTATGAAACCCGATACACGCAGTCTTCAGTTATAGTTCACCTGAATAAAGTAATACCGTTTCCCCAATGTTAATCTGTTATTTCACCATCAGGTAAACTGTAAACACAAATACATGTGTATGTTGATGTTTAATATGCAATAATAAGGTCAGTCGGTTAATACAAAAAACTTCCTCAATATTGTAAGTAAAAAAAAACTTTACTTACTTTACTCAATCCACGACTGTTTGTGGGATATTGCCGTGCGCACTTGGCTATTGCTATCGCGTTTCGCCCAGAAAATACACAGTCAATCCACTTTACAATATGTTCTGTGAAGAGCTTTGAGATGTCTCTACGACGTGATAAGGCGCTGTACCAAATGCAACTATTATTGTTACAGTATTATTATTTCATAAATTGGTGTGATATTTTAATTTCGCACTAGCCTACCAAAATAGATATGATAGATACACAGCACATCATTGATCAGGAGGTCAGTTGTGCTTTGGACGTTCAAGCCTCTTGCATTTCCAGCAGTTGGCTGTACAGTTGGCAGTGTCCTCGGGAGCAGGTCGTGGCTCTCAAGCAATCTCTTAAGTTTGTGTCGCTCAGTGAATTCTTGGCTCTGCTGACGGTAACCTCTCCGCTCTTCAGTTCAGTGGGAATGGACGTCCTGGTTCAATATAGACCATCCCGGTGGTAGTGGAGACTATGAACGGCTCGAGGGAATCCGACATTATTATCGGGAAAGAGTGTGTCGGAGACCGGCTGAACTTGAGGCACGGACTGCAGACTGGATGCCGGCCGCCAACACCAGAGAGGTGGTGCACTCTGACCCACAGCATGGCTTCTGGTGCATCAATAAGGAGCAGCGTCCTGGTAAACTGTGCTCCAATTACGCTGTTCGATTCAAATGCCCAAAAGGTAGGTACTGTGTCAGTCTGAGGTCCGATATAAAACAATAATAAACAACCATCTTTGAAAGCAATGTTTTTAAATGTATTTATTCCTAATCATATTTTTAGATAAATTGTGTAACTGGATTAATGAAATGATATTGCTCCAGGTAAATCACGTTACTTAGGTAATTTATTCATTTAATTTATTGAGGTAGATGATTTACTTATTATTAATTGCCAAGCCTGTGTGTCAGCCTTGTGCAGTCCGAGCGCTCTCCCCTCTGAGTCAGAAGGTTGTGGGTTCAAGCCCCACATCGGGCTTAATGCCAAACATTAACATTGGGAGAGGAATGATGGATGAGTTGGAGAAGCCAGGGGATGGAGCGCCAATAACTTTGACATTCCAGTGAATCGCTGGTAATTATTTGGAAATGGAATAAATTCCAAACTGTTCCCTCAGGGGCCACATCCACTGTGGCACGGAGCTATTGGTCCCATTGGTCTGAATGGAGCTCATGCCCAGCGACCTGTAACCAGACTGGAGTTCAGAACCGACGAAGGACATGCTCTACTCAGGGTCGCAGATGGGAGCAGAAGTGTCTTGGACCTGTGGAGGAGGGCAGGATGTGCAAAGGAACAGTCTGTGCAGGTACAACAACAACAACTATTCACATTTGTACAGCGTCTTTCAAGTCGGTTGGGGGTCCCAAGGTGCTGGACAGTCAGAGATTTGGACCCGAGCAGGGGGTTGGGATCAAGAGTGGTGGAGGGCAAAGAGAGTAGGGGTAGGAGGGTGACCGAAGGCACGGTTGAAGAGGACTGTCTTGAGATGTGCCTTGAAGGAGGTTCTGTGCACTTTCACTTTTGTACTGGCTTCAGAAGTGAAGCTGGGAGTTCAGTTCATTAAGTAGATCTAAGTCAGTAATGTGCAGACTCTGGAGCCAATCTAAGCCACTCAATGCGTCCAAACCTTCTGCAGGTTTTCAGACCCTGCAGCCAAGTTGAGCCAGCCATGAGTTCCTGCCAATCTCCCTGGCACCACTTCCTCTTATAACTTCTCCACCAGCAAATCCCAACACTCACTGTGTGTGCACCAGCCTTGAGGCTCAGTCATCCCGCTTTTCCTTGCCAATCAAATAAGTACTTGTGTGAACATCATGATCAATAGTGGAAGCTACTATTGCACACTCCATCAATCTCAATGTCAATCCAATCACTGCAGTAAACACTAACCCTTTGTCCATTACTGTGAATCTGGTCGACTTTTAAGGATGGCCTAACCTGGTTGGTCAAAGTTAGGATTTGATAAACTCCAATCTTGTCTCTCTCTAACCAGCCTACATTTAGCCAATGTTTTTTTTTTGCCAAACAATTATCACTGCGGGTCAGAATAATGAGATATCCATCACTAGAGGTGAGGGCAACCACACACATCAGTGTTCATTCCAATAATGACCAATTATGTACCCGTTCCTCTAACGGTCATAGTTTCGTAGCAAGTCTGTTTCTTTTCCTCTGTTCGCTGACTATTTTTGTCTCTTTCTTCTCTGCTCAAAGTTCCTCTACCCCCTATTGCTTTGCCGACCCCCAAGCCATTCAACAATCCTGTCGTCACCAGCTGGGTTGAGAAACCTTATGTCAAACAACCATACGGTAATGTAAAGCCTGTTTGCCCGAGTTAATTGTGCATGTCCAGAACGCAGTCTTGAATGCATCAATTGATCTCATTCGATAAATATAAAAATCATAAAACACATTTTGCTCTTTCTTGTGTTTGTAATGTAGACCAGTGACTTTTATTTATGATTCTCGAGGATTTTGCCAAACACATATTTTCAAAACACCTATGTTTGCTTAGCATGATAAAAACCTGCCCAACACTCTCAACACTGACCTAATGGAGATCAGTGCCTTAGCATTGTATTAACAAATATCTTTTTAAGTACAAGATCAGAAGAGAGATTCAGATGCAGAAAGAAAGCCCTTTTGGCTCATTTGATGTTAATAATAATTCTTGCATTTGATATAGCGACTTATCACGTGGTTGAAACGTCTCAAAACGCTTCACAGGATATACTGTAAAGTGAATTGACTGTGCTTTTTGTGGGCTCTGTTGCAGGATGTGAGTTGAGATGCCCCATGGGTCATGCCAATGCGCAGTGCGATGCGTGTATGTGCGAGGACTATCTCCTCTATGGGACGGTTCACCTGCAAGATGGGGCTCCAGCCTCCAGAGCAACCATCTACCTCCAGGGCAACACGGATAAGTTCCTCATGACCTGTGATGACAAGGGGAAGTTTCGGATCCCAGGGCTCTGTCCTGACGGCAGGACAACCATCAAGATCAAGAAGGAAAAGTACAGGACAGAGATTGTCACGCTCAGTCGCAGTGACAACAAAATCTTCACCATAGAAGTGAAACTCAAGAGAGCAGGTATTCAGATGTGTTTTTTTTGATGAAATTAGTCTCAACATAATTGGTTGAAAACTCCTCTTATGGTCCACTGTTGGTGAAGGCAATGCCCTGTGAAGTACTGACTCACACAGAACAGTGCAGAGCAGGTTCAAGCTGTGCTGAGTTAGCTGATCGCAGCAAAGACAGCATTTGGGACGCTCAACTGGCCAAATGGAGTCCCATAGCTTAGTGGTTAGAGCACTCACCTCGCAAGACCAGGGTTTGATTCCCAGGCTGGGCGAAACCTTAGGCAAGTTTCCTTACTCCACACGCTTCTGTTTACTAAGCAGTAAGTAGTAACACGGTTGTTAGCCGATGGCTATATTACTTTAATCCCTTCAAAAAAAAATAATAATTTGGTCACTCAATCCACGCTAATACTGCCTCGTTTCGCCCACAAAACATACAGTCAATCCACTTTACAGTGTACAGTTTTTATATATTTACAGTTACTGACATTAGGGGAAAGGGTAAAAGATGTTCAGGAAGACTGAGGATGCAATCATTTGAGCGGTTTGCTTTTCTTTGCCTCACAGACAAGCCGTACATCACCAAACACCCTGTGAGCAAAGCCAGGCGTGAAGGGGAGAGCGTAACCTTCTGCTGCAAGGTTCAGAGTGACCCTCCACCACACAAGTACTTGTGGTGAGAACAGTTTTATTTTAAGTTTGTCTTTAACTTCGACTCTGCTTCCCCCCCTTGCCCTGTGTGACCCATCCCAGCCAGGCACCGCCATCCTCTCAACCTTATGCCATTCACACTCTGTAGCCAGCTGAGACAGACACCACAGAATCACCTGTCTGCTTTTCAATGATATTAAACGTTGTGATGTTCTCATGAGAATAAAGGGATATGCTTGCTCGGATACAATGTAGATTACAAGCAGTGTGCAGTTGGTAACCATACATTGCACGTTATTATATTGTATAAGAAGGATTATTTGCAATATGTGTTTCTTTGATAAAATGTAACAACACAGCAGTCCATTCTGTAGTATCTGTTACTGTCTTTGCTTTAATGGAGGAGTGCTGATTGTTTAGGGCAGAGTGTTTTAGGTGAATGGTAGTTGCATTAAACGTGTTTGCTTTCCGATTAAATTTGGTAGATTTCTCCCCCTTTAAATAGTCTTTGTTTTGTCTCTTTGCAGGTATCACAATAGCTCCTTGCTGGACTCCAAGAAATATAGATATGACAGTATGCTGGTGTTGAGGCAACTGCAGATGAGACACACAGGGCAGTATTACTGCAAAGCTAGCAACAGTGCTGGCTCTATCAAGTCCTGGCCTGCGAGTCTTACTATAATAGGTAATTGTACATCTGGACACAGCACTTCTATTGATTACAGAGGACTGCAAACCCATTTGCTCTTTTTGTTGAGATAAGCAGTTCTGTTTTTTAAGGCATTAAAGTCTACAATGGAATCACGTCCAATATCACAGTCAGTTCACTTTACGATAAATTCTGTCCAGCACTTTGAAATGTCTTAACAACGCGATATGGCACTATATCAAATAAATTATTATTATTATCTCAGCATAAGAAACATTTTTTTCTTGTTAACAGTTTCTTCTCTTGAAGAAAGTGGTTCAGGAGAGGTCCACGATGGTATCATATTTGGATACCTATCTCATGCAGTCATGTGAAAGCCTAGCCAGTGCGTGTTGATAGGGATCACAGATACTGGGAGAACTTTGTTTAAAAAAAAGTTATTATGCATTGCACAAGCCAACAATGATATTAGGGATCTAAGCTAGAGGGCGCCGCCAACTGGGCATATGTAGTGCAGGCATTTTCCTCCAGGCTGAAAAAAGCTCACTATATTTACAGTAATGGAGCAGTAATATCATCTAACACGGTTTAATAATTAACTTGAACCTGCGTATTTCTTATTTTTTGGTCGTTCTAAAGCTACTTCATTAAAAATAATTGATCCTTGAAAATAAAGAGGAGAGCGCAAGCCAATTGCACCTCCCCAGTGCCTGAATTATCTATCATGCAAACCAGAAATAACATTTAGCTCACGCTTGATGTTTTGACTCAGGCTACTATTTTCAACCTTGCTGGTTCATTGCACTGTGGGCCTTGGCCTTTCACCAAGTACCTCAATTAAATATATATTAATTCTTATTGGTTGGGAACTGTACTGTAATACTTACTGGGTTACTAAAATGAGATGTAGCGTGAATTGCGAATTGACTGTATTTTGTGGGTGATTGTGTCCCACAAACAGTCATGGATAGAGTGACCATTTTTTTGTTTGTTTTTGGTTTGTTTGTTTGCAGGGATTATTACCATGAAAAGCACTAGCAACCGGGTTCCTACTCATTGCTAGTTAAACAGAGGTGTGTAGTACTGGAACTTGCCTAATTCTTGTCAATTCTTCCCGGGAATTGAACCCAGGTCCTCTCGCTTGCGAGGCGAGAGTGCAAGCCACTACACTATGGGACTCCATTTGTTTGAAACGTGTAGATCTGAAGATTAATAACAGACGTTCTTGTTTCCCCAGCACAAGATTCACCGTCCTGTAATCCCAAACCCGAGAGCTACTTAATTCGCCTTCCTTACGATTGCTACCAGAACCAGTCCCGCTCCTTTTACTATGACGTGGGCAGATGCCCTGTGACCACGTGTGCCGGAGAGAGAGACCAGGGCCTGCAATGCAAAGATACCACTGCTTACTGCTGTGGGGCGGTGGAACTGGAAGAGAGGACAGTGGCATGCAGTGGGCACGTGCTTCCCATCAAGGCCGTCAGCAGGTGTGGGTGTCAGAGGTGCGTTGAAACCAAGGCAGTTGTCCGGGGTAGGGCATTGGCAGCTGATAACGGGGAGCCCATGAGGTTCGGGTATCTCTTCATGGATGGGAAAAGGATTAGCATGACTGGATACAAGGGCACGTTCTCCATCCAGGTTCCCATGGATATTGATCGGCTGGTGCTGACCTTTGTGGATCGCTACCAGAAGTTTGTCAACACGACCAAAGTTCTGCCGTTCAACAAAAAAGGAGGTGCAGTCTTTCACGAGATTAAACTCCTAAGGAAGCAACCTGCGGTCACCTTGGATTGTACCATCAGCAACACCATCTCTCTGGGGGGCACAGAAAGGCAGGACCCCGTAGCCGAGTTGGAAATCCCTCCCAACTCCTTCTACAGACAGAATGGAGACATCTACAGTGGCAAAAGTGCAGGCCAGCGTGACCTTCTTAGATCCCAGGGACATCTCGTTGGCTTCGGCAGCCCAGAGCGACCTGAACTTCATCGATGAGGAAGGAGCCGCTCTCCCACTCAGGAGCTATGGCATGTTTTCTGTGGATTTTACTGATGAGTCCGCGACCGAGAGTCTCAATGCCGGGCAGGTCAAGGTCTTCCTGGACTCGGCTCAGGTCAAGATGCCTCAGCACTTGAAGAGGATGAAGCTGTGGTCCCTCAACCCCAAGACGGGCTACTGGGACGAGGAAGGAGACTTCACCTTTGTCAGCCAGCGGCGGGGCAAGCGAGAGGAGAGGACCTTCCTGGTCGGCAATATGGAGATCCGAGAGAGGAGGCTGTTCAACTTGGACGTCCCCGAGAGCAGGAGATGCTATCTGAAGGCCAGAGCGTTTCGAGGCGATCGCTTTATGCCAAGCGAGCAAGTTGAGGGAGTCGTGGTGACACTCATCAACATGGAGCCCATGGCCGGCTCCTCCTCCAACCCCAGGGCCTGGGGCCGCTTTGACAGTGTCATCACTGGCTCCAACGGGGCCTGTGTGCCCGCCTTCTGTGATGATCAGCGGGTGGATGCTTATTCGGCCTATGTGAAGGCCACGCTGGGAGGAGAGGAACTCGAGGCCGTGGAGTCCTTCCCCAAGATGAACCCCTACTCCATTGGCGTGCCTCAGCCCTACCTGAACAAGCTGCACTACAGACGCTCGGATCACGAAGATCCCAAGGTAAAGAAGACGGCCTTTAAGATCAATGTGGCCAAACCCAGGGCGAATATGCCCGAGGAGACGAACGGCCCCATCTACCCTTACGAGAAGTTGAAAGAATGTGAAGAAGCGCTCTTCAGCGCTGCCCACTTCCGATTCTACAGAGTCGAGGGAGACGGGTATGACTATAACACCGTACCCTTCAATGAGGATGACCCGATGAGCTGGACGGAGGACTACCTCGCCTGGTGGCCAAAACCGTTGGAGTTCCGAGCTTGCTATTTGAAGGTCAAACTTGTCGGGCCGAAGGAGATCACGGTGAGATCCCGCAACATGGGGGGCACACACCCCAGGACAGTGGGCAGGCTTTACGGCATCCGTGATGTGCGCAGTGCCAGGGATATGGACCGTCATGGCGTCTCCACGGTCTGCTTGGAGTTCAAATGCAGCGGCGTTCTCTACGACCAAGAACGGGTCGACCGGACCTTGGTGAAGATCATCCCTCAGGCCAGTTGCCGCAGGGAAAACGTTAATAACATGCTCCAAGAATACCTGGTCAACCATCTCCCGCTGGCCGTCAACAATAACACCAATGAGTTCACCATGTTGGCCCCTCTGGATCCTCTGGGTCACAACTATGGCATCTACACGGTGACCGATCAGGACCCAAGAACAGCCAAGGAGATTGCGCTGGGCAGGTGCTTCGATGGGAGTTCCGACACCACTTCCAGGGTCATGAGATCCAGCCTAGGCGTGGCCATGACCTTCAACTGCGAGGAGAGGCAGCTCGGTCAGCGGAGCGCATTCCAGACCATGCGGAACCCTCCTGGTCAGTCCATCGTGAGTCCCTTTAAGGTGGGGCGAGGGAGAAGAGATAGGCAACAAAGGCACAATCTATTGTATAATAGATTCAGAATGCAGCGAGTGCAGCTGAAAGGGTAACAGAAGAGACGTGCAGGTGAAACATTCAGTTGGTTTCAGATATTGCTTTAGCCAGTATTAGCACTGCCCTCCAACAGTGGTGCGAAAAGAAAATGCAATTCTGTCCAACCACTGAGCTTCCATGTCTCATGTCATTCTATTCTACTTGAAACGTGTAAATAGGAATAATATTTATGTCCTTCAGCGTTTGAAACCAGAGCTTTGGAGTTTGGCACCATCTCTTGGAGATATACAGGCACTGAGCCTCTCTCCCTTTCAAATGATATTCCATCCTGCAGAGTTGTATTGAACCTGATATTAAAACATCCCTTATGTACAATGTGTAGCTTAATTGCTCCTTGAACCGATGTGCTTTTGAAGATTGTGTATTTAGGTCAATCAGTATGTAGTGTCAAGAAGGTACGCTTTGTAAAGAATCCACAAATCGTTTGAATTTTTGGTCATTATAACATTTTGTACTATTAATGTAAACAGTGAAGCTTCTGTCATTATGTTACATTATGTTTTTTTTCCCCCTTTTTCTTTCAAATAACAATAAAACGCATTTATTTGACTGAAACTGAATTATTTCAATGGGAAGGAAACAGGTGAGGGCAAGGGGTGGTGTTGGGTGGGGGTGTGGGGGGAGAGAGCGGGAGGTTCCATGCAAAGCTTGATTCTGGGATGAGAGACGCCAGGACGCTGCGACTCATTCCAAAAAAGCAGCTCGATGCTGTGGTGGGTGGGTGGTGGTGGGGAGGGGAGGAAGGGGGTGTGGTGGTGGGGGGGGGGGGGGGGGAGTTATTTCTGTAGCGACGAGGCCAAAGAGCTTTCATTTACCGTGTGTGATTGTGCTGTCGCCCTTCGCCCACAAAATCCCACAAGTCAAATCTATCTTACGGTATCTCCCGCGAAGCGCTTTGAGACGGCCTCGACGAGGCGCTGCAATGAGAGGCGAGGACTATTATTGATATTTATTATTATTTGTCTAAAGCGATCCAATTAACACGGATCGATGGAAAGTCCATTCCCCCCCCCGCCCCCCCCGAAAAAAAAAAGAAAGAAATCTGCGGGCCGTGGGGCGAAGAACGCTGGGGGCCGACGACAGAATTGCCCGCGTTCGAAACATCCCGTGAGACTATTCCGGGTTTGAGGAACCGAGACGGCTCCAGCCTTGGCTGCTGGCGGAGCAGAGCAGGAGCAGAGCAGTGCAGGAGTGGAGCAGGAGCGGAGCAGTGCAGGAGCAGTACAGGAGCAGAGCAGGAGCAGAGCAGTGCAGGAGCAGTGCAGGAGCAGAGCAGTACAGGAGCAGTGCAGGAGCGGAGCAGAGCAGGAGCAGTGCAGGAGCAAAGCAGTACAGGTGCAGAGCAGGAGTAGAGCAGTGCAGGAGCAGAGCAGTGCAGGAGCAGTGCAGGAGCAGAGCAGTACAGGAGCAGAGCAGGAGCGGAGCAGTGCAGGAGCAGAGCAGAGCAGGAGTAGAGCAATGCAGGAGCAGAGCAGGAGCAGAGCAGAGCAGGAGCAGTGCAGGAGCAGAGCAGTGCAGTGCAGGAGCAGTGCAGGAGCAGAGCAGAGCAGGAGTAGAGCAGAGCAGGAGTAGAGCAGAGCAGGAGTAGAGCAGTGCAGGAGCAGAGCAGAGCAGGAGCAGTGCAGGAGCAGAGCAGAGCAGTGCAGTGCAGGAGCAGAGCAGTACAGGAGCAGAGCAGTGCAGGAGCAGAGCAGGAGTAGAGCAGAGCAGGAGTAGAGCAGAGCAGGAGTAGCAGAGCAGGAGTAGAGCAGGCAGGAGCAGAGCAGGAGTAGAGCAGAGCAGGAGTAGAGCAGAGCAGGAGTAGAGCAGAGCAGGAGCAGAGCAGGAGTAGAGCAGAGCAGGAGTAGAGCAGAGCAGGAGTAGAGCAGAGCAGAGCAGTACAGGAGCAGTGCAGTGCAGGAGCAGAGCAGTGCAGGAGCAGAGCTGCAGAGTCAACCAGTGCAGTGAGCAGATTGACAGGTCCTCTGGGCACCACTGTCAACCCTGTCCATCACAGCCCACGCCCCGCCCCCTCCGCCTCCCCCCCCCGCCCCACCCCACCACCCACGTGGGCGCGTGGCCGGGGGGTTTCGCGCGTCACTTCCGGCATGTCGGGGGAGCGGAAGCCGGCGCCATGTCGGAGCGGGTTTTCGCCGAGGAGCTGGTGTCCGCCCTGAGGGAGGTGGTGAGCGGCACCGGCTGGCAGTGCGCGGGGCGCCTGGACAGCCTGCCCGCCCCCTGCACCAAGTAAACAGGGGGGGGGGGGGGAGGGAGCCGTGGGCTGAGAGAGGGGCGGGGCAATGGAGTTGGAGGCGGAGTTATTGGCCTGGAGGCGGGGCTCCGGGGGAGGGGCAATGGAGTGGAGTTATTGCCTGGAGGCGGGGCTACGGGGGGAGGGGCAATGGAGGTGGAGTTATTGGCCTGGGGGTGGGGCTCCGGGGGAGGGGCAATGGAGGTGGAGTTATTGGCCTGGGGGTGGGGCTATGGGGGGAGGGGCAATGGAGTTGGAGGCGGAGTTATTGGCCTGGAGATGGGGCTCTGGGGGGAGGGGCAATGGAGGTGGAGTTATTGGCCTGGAGATGGGGCTCTGGGGGGAGGGGCAATGGAGGTGGAGTTATTGGCCTGGAGGCGGGGCTATGGGACTAGGAAGTGGCAATAAAGCTGGAGGTGGGTCTGTGGGGTTGGGGAGGGCAATGAGGCGGGGCTGAAGGCTGGTTATGGGACAGGTGGTGGTGGGGGACGGGGCACGGTCTGAGGAGAGGGCCTTATCTGCTCAAATCCGAGCCCTCCCCGGGGTCAGTGTATCTCACGAGGCAAAGGTGACTGTCATGGAGGAGATGTAGCAGCTCCCTTGTTTTCCAGGCTGTATTCTGACGATGGCGAGCACATCGTCCTGGTCCGCACCAACAATGATCGTTTCTATGCAATGGATTCTGCCTGTCCGCACGAAGGTAGGCGTTTGTCGCTGGAGAGTCGCTGTATGCGGGGACACGACTTGGGTCCCACTGAATTATCAATCTGTCCTGAACTGCAGGCACACTAGTGATGGAGGCAGCGCGGTTATAGTTGCCGATTCACCACCTGCTCATCGTGATTCAATTTATTTTGGTCGGCCGGGTGTCTTGACACATTCAGAAACCCATCACTGTGCTTAAGGCTATCCAAACCAAGCTGAGAATTCCATGCATCCCACCTACACGTGGAAATTCTGGATATGTTTATTGGAATGGAATGCGCCCTCTTTCCCTGAAGGGACTTGTCCTGCTTACCAAATTTCAGAAAGTATTAGGCACAGGTTGGCAAGAGCCAAAGCTTGGGGACCCCAGAGTGTGCGTTCGTGTAACTGCTGGAATCTAACCAACTGAAACCACATAGCTTGACATAGAGAGTCTGGCAAGCTTTCCCACCTGCTTGTCGAGCTCGGACCACCCTAAATGTTAGGGCTTTAGCTTGCAGGGTGAACAGGAGCTGAGTGGGAAGAGTCCCATGAATTGCAGTGTGACAATGAATGTCTCATTGGCTTATGTGGTCTGGGAACCGTAGTTATTTTGAAATCTCCAGGTCATCCATGTCAGAACATATTAGGGCCAGCAGTAAACATGATTGATTTTTAATTTGGTATTGCTATAGTTATTTACAAAGCGAGCAAGTGACCAATATGCTAAACTCAGGAGCATGACCACTGAGGTAAATGTGCTCTGTGTTCACCAGTAACTGAGAGAAGAATCTCTGCTCTGCTCTTTCCAGGGGGACCTCTTGAACTGGGAGATGTTGAGGACATGGGCACAGGGAAGCTGGCATTAATTTGTCCCTGGCATCAGTTTGACTTCTGCTTGGAGGACGGGCATTCCTCTACAGGTTTCCAGGTGAACTAACAAAGCAAAACTTATTATTCTTATAATACCAACCAAAACTGAGACCGCGGTGAGACCTTCTTGTTAGCTGCATTAGATCGCTTTTGTGTTAGTTTGCACAGGGCACTGTCAGAGCTCTATTGGTCCATTACACTGTAGGGGGTGCTGTTTAATGTAATATCAGCATTGCACAGAACACCATGTAAACTTACTTAGGGGAGTCTAATGGGTGACAGGGTTGACTTCAGAATTAAGTGCGTGTGGTGGTGGGGGAAATCAAAGCATCATTGTAAACTTGTACTTCTCCAAACAGAACCAGGTTTATGAGGTTCATATCTCCGAGGGCAAGGTTTACATTCAGACCCAGAGCTCGCTGTCCCGGGCTCCTCAGCAGGCATCTGGAACATTATTGTGCGGTAAGTACCTCTCGCTAAACATTGCAGTGTTTCGCTGTTAAGTATGAAGTGTTCATCGTTCATTTAGCGTCAGGAGGACATCTGAAAACGCTTCATATAATTGACTGGGCACCCAAGTGGGAGGGGAGAAAGATGACAAAATCACGTTCGAAAATATAGCAGGCGTATCAATGTGTTTCCTTTTTTTTCTTTACATAGAGAGATTCTCCTTGAAGTCTCTGACTACTACAAGTTCTGAGGATTCCCTCTGTTACTGGGCTGTGAAGATCCTCTGTACATCAGACGCTGAGGAGAAGGTGAGGTCCAGAGGAAGAGGGAAGTGTTCATGAGCAGTCAGGAATTATCAAGGAAAATCGAACCTCTGCTCGTCTGCTGATTTTGGGACTTTTTGACATAGGGAGGGGGGGGGGGTTTGAATTGTTTTGAATTCTTATTATTTTCACACACACTCTCCCCTTCTCCCCCTGGACACAGGTAACCCTGACAGACCAAGTGGAGAAGTGGTGGACCTCAGGTAAAATCAGAGAGGTTGGCCATGGAGATGTCCCACCACAGCCCAGCAGACAGGAGAACCTCAAGGTGCTGCAGCCGGGCAGGATCAAGAGGGGCAAAGGTGGCACCCTGGTTAGTAAGAGGCACTCTGGATATTGCTCTGAGCTGGGGTGGGTGGGAGATGAGCGCAGCATGTTTGCTGACTAGTTCAAATTGGCCGAAGAACCTTCTTCACCCAACCTTCTCTCGTAATGTCTAAGACAGTCCCTCCCCAATACACCTCCGAGTTGACTGATGTGGTTGTGTGGACTAACCTGCCTCGGTGGGGCTTGTGTATTTCCCAGGCCAGCCGGATAGCGTTGCTGCATTCACTTGCCAACATCGAGCAGTGGGCTATAGACCTCTCGTGGGACATCATCGCTCGCTTTTCCATGGTGAAGCTGAAGAATGGGCGGTCATTGCCCCTAGAATTCTTCAGCGACTTTGTTAGAGTGGCGGGAGAGGAGGCCAAGGTCAGACCAGACTGCTCCCATTGGTTTTAAATTGAATCCGTTTCCTCCAGAGTCTCTGCAGCTGCATATTCATTGAATCTTCTCTTTGATTTTCAGCATTACAAGCTGTTGGCGAACAGGATCAAGGAGCTGGGCAGTTATTTTGGAGCACTACCGGTACATAACGGTCAGCCAGCTCACTGTCAGCCTGTGTAAATCCTCGGGTCCTCCCGCTCTGATCAGAGATCGTTTCACAAAACCCATCATTGCCTAAGAAAACCTGAGAAATTAAGGAATCCCGAGAATCTGATAAATTCCTTCCAGTATTGTAAATACTTACTGCATTGACCCCCGGCAACGCTGTTCTGGCAAGATTCAATAATATCCCATAATAATCCTTACATGCTGTAAAGCGCCTTTCACATCAGGGGGAGTCTCAAAGCGCTTCACAGGATTTACTGTGTATTTTGTAGGCGAACAATCTATACCGCAAATCGCATCTCAATTTCCACGATTGTGCATGGGGGATGTTGTGTGTTTTTATTTTTTAATTTTGTTTGTAACAAACACAATTTTCTAATTGTGTGAATTCATTTCATCAGGTTTGTGGCAGTCGGCGTCTGACACGGCCAGTGACTTATTGGCACGACTTGCCATTGTACACATGGTGCATGAAGCCAGGTAATGAATATTTCTTAACTGGGTCAAGTATTTACCTTATAGCATCCCCCCCCCCCCCCCCCCCCCATTGAATATTTCCCAATAGTGGTCTCCATTTCCTCTGCATTAACACCATCTCTGTAACCTGTGCCTCACTAATTGAATGGCAGGAATTGGCGAGTTGCCCACTATTATCTCCCCAGAATCACTGTCCCTCTGTTTCCTGGTTCCAACTGTTGATGTGGTTGAGATTAAGAAGATTGATAATCATTTCAGTATGATGAATGTATATCCTTAATACTGATCTGGTCTGAAGGTCAATATTAAGGATATACATTCCTTAACACTGAAATATAAGGTCTGAATGGCCAGGTGCACTGTGTTGTGTCTGTGTGGGTTTAACATGTTTGAAATCTGCATTTTCCCTTTGTACCTGATTGCTCATTAGTTTTTAAAACTCTGGCAACTGTGTGTGTGTATATATACTGTCTGCAGCTGTTGAAAGTAATGCCAATGGTGTGGTTTGCAGGGAGCCTATTGGTAATACAGTAAAATAAGATCAGGACAGACAGCTGCACAGTAAGGCCATAAATGAGAAGTGGTGAATGGTAAATTTAGAAGCAACATTAGGAAATATTCATTACTCAATTATAACTGCTTTGAAACAATTTACCAAGCAAGGCAAAAGACTCTGGGTGTGCACTGATGGGAGAATCGATGTAGTAATAATAATAATAATCCTTGCATTTGATATAGCACCTTATCACGTCGTTGAGACGTCTCAAAGTGCTTTACAGAATATATTGTAAAGTGAATTAACTGTGTATTTTGTGGGCGAAATATACAATGTACTGGTGGGATGGGCTTTATTGAGATGAATTGTCTTTCCTCGGTCCTGACCTCTGTGTTGCTGTCTCTGAAGGGGTTTAGACGTGCACCCTCAGATGCTGGCTCGCTTTGCGGCGCAGGCAGACCAGAGCTCTGTGAGGCTTCTCGAGATTATCTACAGGGATGAAATCACACACGTGGCGACAGGCTTGAGGTGGTTCACTTACATCTGCTCAGAAGAAGAAAAGGTGCAATGCCCGATTCTCATATTAGTCTAGAGCTGCTGTGTGCAGCTTCTTCGTATTAAGCATTTGCCTCTGAATTATATGCTCTTAATTGTCCTTATTCACAAAGGAACTAAGGTGGAGGTTGTGTGGTGGGGAGTGGGGAGGGCTACTCCTTTTCCTTCCCTACTGTAAATTTGATTGCTCTACAATCAGAGCCAACACTAAATCAAAACCCTTCTCTGTGACTGTGCCTCGCTCAGTGTCCTTATGCACCACACCCTTAAATTCTCCCTGACTCTTTCCTCCCTCTTTGTGAAGCAATTCCAGACATTTGCCCTACATGAAATGTGTTAATTGACATTAAAACAAACTCTCTTTCTTTCCCCAGGACACCTTGGCCACATTTCACAATCTGGTCCGGACCTATTTTAAAGGCTACTTAAAGCCCCTTTCAACACAGAAGGAAGAAAAATAGCTGGAATGAGTGAACAAGTGAGTTTGGTGTGATCTATTCTGACCCTTAATTGCCTACCCAGACAGATTTTCAATTGTGGCAAAAATATTTCACTGCTTTCTCTGAAATCTCTTAATTGTGCTTCTTTTTTTTAAATTCCAGTGGTATCTGCCTTTGATCAAACCATCTCAATCAGAACTTGGGAGTGGTGTTCCCTGAACCAGCACAGCGTTGTTGCAGAGAACTTTACATTGTGACACTGCAATCATCCCTCTCACTGCCTGGATTTTCCTCTTTCGTGCAATGTGTTCAATAAGCTGATGCCCTCCCTTGGCTGAAACCAAGAACTGCCCTGGGAAACCTTCCCACTCAAGTCACTTTCTGTATAAAATCACTGCCTATTGTTTGTCCCTCAGGGCTCTGTCCTCGGTCCCCTCCTTTTCACCCTCTACATGCTCCCCCTGTGGTGACATCATCCGCAGACATGGGGTTAACTTCCACATGTATGCGGATGACACCCAACTCTACCTTTCCTCCTCTACCCTCAACTCCACGACCACTGATGTCCTGACAGCTGTCTGTCTGACATCGAGTCCTGGATGAGAGATAACTTTCTCCAGCTCAACGTACGCAAAACTGAGGCCCTCCTGATTGGCTCGCGTTAGTGCCTCCGCACCTCAGGCGCTGACAGCATCAGCATCCAAGGCTGCACTCTCCACCTCTCAAAGCCATCAGGAACCTCGGGGTTCTGTTCGACCCTGAGCTGTCCTTTCTCCCCCATATCCGCGCCACAACTGGCACCACTTTCCATCACCTCCGGAATGTCGCCAGACTACGGCACTACCTCACCCCTCACGCGGCTGAAACTCTGGTCCACGCCTTTATCACCTCAAAGCTGGACTATGGGAACTCTCTCCTCGCAGCCTTCCCGGCCCTCCCTCCACACTGCAGGTCATTCAGAACTCTGCAGCTCGTGTACTGTCCCGCACCAGGCTTCGGGACCACATCACTCCCACCCTCGCTCGCCTCCACTGGCTCCCCATCCCCCAGAGGATCGAATTCGAGATCCTCACCCTCACCTACAAGGCCATTCACGGTCTCGCTCCCTCCTACCTCTCCGACCTACTATCCCCCTACCTACCCGCCCGTACCCTCCGTTCCTCTGGCTCCGGTCTGCTCCACATGCCCGCCCCAACCGCCCTACTATCGGTGGCCGGGCCTTCAGCCTCTCAGCCCCTAGGCTCTGGAACTCTATCCCCAGTGCCTTTGCCTGCCTCCTCCCTTTCCTCCTTCAAGGCCGGTCTCAGACCTTTCTCTTGACCGTGCTTCAGCTCCCCTCTCGACTCTCTACCCCTCCTCGCTCCCTCCCTTCCTCCCCTCACCCTGACCATTTTCCCCCTGCTCGGGTCCTGACCCAACTGTACAGCGCCTTGGGACATCCTCCCGACGTGAAAGGCGCTCAATAAATGGAATCTTGTTGTTGTTGTTGTTTGTCAACCTTGTCAATCATGTAATGGAGGATTAACCATTCATTTTTGCCCGTTTACAGTCCTTCCCTCCCTCCAAAGATATAATAACTGAATGTGACCTGTGTTCATTTTAAAACGTTTCCATCTTGTAAGTAAAATTAAATGTTGTGCTGTAGTCCTATGTCTCTTTACCACCAGCAGTTTTCACTCTCACAGGGACATTGCAGGTGTTCCCTCGACACCCCAGCCTTTAGGTCTGGATTTGAAAACCAGGTCAGTCTCAGCGTGTTTCACACAGCAACACAGTCTTCCATTTGAAAGGAATGTTGCGTGCATGTTGCATTGGTGCTTAAGTGCTGGGCGAGGCTCCATCTCAGGTTGTAGGAAGGCTTAATCCAAGTAGCCTGAGGCCCAATGAGGTGCAATATTGATTTCAAGCTTGCAGTCGCTTTGAAGTTTTCTGTCTAAGTCCCACCGTCCTGACTGTACTTCAGATTCACAAAGTGATCGGATCAATTTTTTTTATATAAAAATAATTACGCTTAGAGAAACACTTCAAAGCAGTTGCAATATACGTTTCCTTCGGTTATCGATGAGTGGCGACCCAGTTCCTTTTGGCTCGTTTTGCCAGACTTTGTTCTGGTTTGTGCGTTTGAAACCGCCACACGTTGTGATCATTTGTCCTTTCCTGAAAGTACCGATGGAGGTAGCCATTGTAAAAGTCAGCTGCAGACAGCTTCTTCTTGAGAACCACCAGCCTGAAACCCACCCAATCATCCTACAGAAAGAAAAGCAACGAGTAAATAATCTTGTTTACGTTTACAGTACAATCTTGTGCAAAGAGAAACCGGCACCAGCCTCATGAGTGAATTCCTCACCGCCACAGTACTGCACACCAGACGCAGTGAATAGGTATAACCTGTTTGTACCTTGTTCTTAATGCTATGCAGCGAGGTGAAGGTTAAGAAGAAGGTGACCCACTTCTTATTCCCAACACTAAGATCTGTCATATCCTCCACTTATTAGTCAATCCTAAAACTTTTTGTGAGTCAAATTCATAGTAGCAATTAACTGATTCCTTACTTAATAGCATTTATGTAACTCAGTATACTTTGAGACGTCTGGAAGATGTGAAAAGCGCTATATCTAATGCAAGGATTATTAGTATATATGGACAGATCACACAGGTATGTGAACTACTGAGATCACAAACACTGATCAGAGTGCAGATGTTTAGAGGTGAACTCTAGAAATCTCAAGAGCAGGATTGGATTCAGCGCTGTGCCTGACTGGGGCTGTTCAATGATTTGCCTGTACCTTGCAGCGTACCAGCAGGATATTCGATTCTTTATGGAACTGGATGGTGCCAGGAATTGACTGCTGTGTCACAGCTACAGAAAGCAAAACAAAAAAATTAGTCGGATTATTGAATTACAATAAATCACAGCTTCAAGCTATTTTCCTTGTGCTTTAAGCACAGGTGGGATTTGTTGCATTACAACAACAACGCAGACTTTCTACTAACGAGCAAAAAGGCATGTCTCACACTGAATTTTACATGTCTTTGAGGCAACAGTGATACTCTGCACTTCAAATAAGAAGACAAAGTAACCATCATTCGAAAGGAACCTGGAATAGGTCCCATAACTGATTGTGTTTGGTATATTTACCTATTCACAAGTGTTTGCAGAATGGGCTTCATTGCTGAATTCTTATTATTTCTTGTGAATGAATCAGACATTCATATGCTTTAAACTGAGCACCTCCATTAGTTTGGCTGCCCTTTACAGTTCCATGTACTTCTATTTAAAACTTAAAAATGCCTCAAGAAGTACAATTAATTTTCGTGCAAATCAAGCGATTCTCGATTGCTCAAAACTCACATTTTGAAACGCAGACTAAAATCCATCGGATTAAGAAAATTCAGCCCTCAGTTCCATTTCAATTTGGCAGCTGCAACTCCCGAAACACACAAAATCTACCTGGGAAAAGGGAAGGTCGCGCAAGTCCACAAAATCCAAGAGCTTCACTGTGTTTCCCATCCACAGAGTCCGCAGGGGAACCTAGAGCAACAGCAAAACATCAGGGAGATTGCCAACCACCCAACCTGGCCTCAGAGTCTAGCTAACAATTTTATTTGGAAATCTGTGCACCTTATTGAGAAACACCAATAATTCCAGCGTCTGTCAGTTGGATTTTTCACACAATGATAGAACAGCTATGGTTTACAGAACCTCTTCCCCTAGTTTTTTTTTCATTGTCCATTTGTTTTTTTCCTTCCTGTCTCATTGCCTCCACCCTGCTCCATTCCCTGGGCCACAGAATTAGAAGGTATTTAAGTCTTTACCCTCCGACCTGCTGAAGGACAGCCTAGATTGGGGCAAATGTCCACCGAAGGATGACGCTGACGAGGATCGAAGATTACTGTCCCCAGGGCACCACTGAACCAGGCCTGAGAGCAGAAAGCTAACCATAAAATAGTAGATAGATTGATAAGAAGTTTTATGAGACAAAAATTCCAAATACAATAATTCCCTTCTCTAATACACACTTGAATCAACATTGCCATAGCAGTAAAATGATAAAATTCACCAAAATTAGTTTCTTACACTGAAATCCCCAGAGCACTTACTCTGCAACTTATTGCTCGGTTCAGTCTGTCCAGTTTCCTCTGATGTCTGTTCCTCCCAGTTCACCCAGCTCATTGCAATATTGATCTTTGGAGCTGGAAACAAAGATAATGGGTAATGAGATCAGTTCCTTTTGCACAATGATTATTATTTTGAGTTTTCGTAAAACACATCAACAGCTCTCTATGCTAGGAACGGCCACAGGCATCCATCCACTCCCTGCCTCTTTGTTAACACCCACCAATAATGATCCATTAGAACTAGCGCAAGACTCTTGAGTATCAGCTGAAACTCACCAAATGTGGCTCCTTTCTTGGACTGTTCCCTGCTATTCTCAATGCATTCGGGTAGCTTTTTCAATGTCGCCAGGAGCTGAAACACAATGAATCCACATAAGATTACACTGGAAAGACTGGCCTGTGTGCATGGCTTCATAAACTCAGCAAATATTAAGCACAGAATGTAAAATGTCTCAAAGCTCTTCACAGGATTTACTGTAGTATGCATTGACTGTACATTTGTAGGAAAATTATGAGGTCGACCAGTCAGAAAGACCTACTTCGCCTGAAACTGTTGTGTGATCTTGGTGCAACCTCAAAGAATGGTCTTTATGTATTTTAATTCATGTGAGCCTTTGGTATTTTGAATATTAAGGACGGGTGCCTACACAGAATCCCAAAGGTAACTGCTTACCATGTCAGCACCAGCCTCTGCCAACATCACCCTAGCTCGTTGGCTGTGCACCGTGTGGGTACAGCGCATTCCTTCTGCATTACTATGGGGCCAACATCAAACCTGTGTAGATGATACAGTATGTCAACGCATTTTCAGATCAATCAAATCAATTCAGACTTTGAACAACTAGCAATAGCTGAAGCATTGAAAACAGGGTTTAACAACAACAGGCTCTTATTAACAGGTGGCATCTCAGTGATTTTCCTTTGTCTGTTGAATGGACTTTATGTTAAAAATTGGTTTCTTGGGAGAAAGGAAATCTCATTCGTTGACCTCTTTATCTACTTGTTCTCAGCGGCTCGTGGCATTACTAGTCTCTGATAGGTAAAGGTACCTTTTTGGTCTGATCTGCATGATCGTCACGCCAGTCACCTGATCGCCATGAAGTACGGTGTGAAACACAGGAGCAGGTCCCTCCATCTCGAAGAAGACTTGGATGTACGTTTAATATTCCGCTGGGGACAAGAGAGAGACCGCATTAAAAACGAGCAATAAAAATACAGACAGAAAGCAGCTTGAATAAGCGTACGCACAAAGTGTAAAACAAACTATATCTGGAAAGGGCAAGAGCTGTGGCCCAGTAAACTGTGATTCCAGC